ATGTATCATTTAATGGGAGTGTTATATATATATATATATATATATATATATATATCTTTTTCTCTTTAATTTAGAGAGAGAGAGAGAGAGAGAGATTCTAGAATTTTTATTGCATTTTCATTTTAGGGTTTGTTAATGATTATAGTATGTTTTGGGCCTTTTGGCTCATTTACTTAACCGCTTAATGTTAAATTGCTCATGAGAATCTCCAAAAACTATTTTATGAGACACCATCTATTTTAAAAAGTCAAATTTAAAAATTATGATCCAAGATACTATTTAAATTAACATTTTCATTTAGAGAGTGGATAATTTGGAGAGCCAAACTCACCCTCTATAATTAAATGCATTTACTCTGCTAGGGAAACATGTTGATTATTCAGGTCGTTTCAAAGTGTTTCAATTTTTAATATAATAAAATAATCTAGATAAAACCAGTTAAAATAAAAGATAGAGAAAAATAATAAATATTTTTGGGCGCAATAAAATTAAGTGTTAATATAAAGAGTTTGTTTGAGTACTTCAAAATTTTAACTCTTTGAGTTTATAGATTCTTTTCAAATGATAGAATATACTTTTTAAAAATAGAAAAACTCTTGAAGATACTTTTAATGAATGCTAAACATGGATTTTAAAATGCTATTTAAATTAATAGAATTTTTCAATATAATATATAATCTATTTATTCATTTATTATCCTAAGACCCTCAAACTTTTTTGGGTAGATGATTGGGTCGATTTTCAAATATTGAATCATATTAAGGCTTAATTCACACCACATTTTAATTGAATGAAATATTCATAATCTTTAGTTATTATCATACCTATTTCCCCAACCTTTTTTGTTGTATTCTTATCTCGAGTTTTTAATTAATTAGTACATCTTGTCTCTGATAATGATTTCTCTCAAAAAACTTTTTAAGAGGGAATAAAAAGATATATTTACCCCTAGTTTATTTAATAAGCAAAACAATAAAAATAAATTCAAAATTTTGTTAAATACTTGTCCATCATTTTAAAATACAATAACAAAATTTTTAGATGAAAATGGTCATTAAGGACAAGATTTAATAATTGATGAAAGATTAATGATAAGAATGTGATGAAAAAGTTAAGAACATAAATGTAATAATAAATAAAGATTAAAGACCAATAATACAATTAAAATGTGGTGTATTTATAAAAAAATTTGGTGCGAATATAACCATCCCAATATTAAAGGGGAATGGTTGTAGAGACAACAGAGTAATCTAGGAAACGTTGGGGTCGACAATGTCAAGAAATGAAAGTTAGAAATAGAAGCACAAAATGGAGTAAACATTTGGGGCAAGAGCCACAATTTATCCATTTCTATATGTTTATGTAACTCCATTTTATGAAAAGGATTCTCATGTTATGATGTCAAAGATTCATTTCCATACGAATAATATGCCTTGGACTTATATAATTTTATACTTTTTATTGAGAAACATTATTTTTATTATGAAAATAATTTGTGCTCTTTTTAACGTTATATTTCTTCCATATTGCATTTCACTTCTGATTACATGCTACCATTAACATAAAAAGGGAACAATTGGCATAGACAATTGTAAAATGAGTTGAGACACTTTGTTTCTTCTTAATTTTTGTTATCTTGGTGCCTCACTTTTTGTTTGTACATAGAAATATATCATTTCAAAGGCAATGTCTTTTGTAGTACACTATTTTGACATCATTCTGTGTTCTAACAACGAGTGATATGTCAAGATATTAAATATTTACTGGACAAATAACTAATAGAACAGCTAAACAAAACAATATCAGCTTATTGCAAATCCGTACATTATAGAGCAAACAAGCTCTAAATGAATAAAATACACAAAGTCATACGGTTTTGATCGAAATTTATTCAGTGTAATGGTCTCTCGTAGTCGTTGACTAATGCAGTGATATGATTGAAATGAGTTTTAAAGGTAAATGAAATAATGAAACGATTTCAAAATTTAATATTTTCAGTGTCATGTAGGATTTTCTGTTAGATATGAACGGTCAACTAACTTGGTGGTCCAAGAAAAATGGGATTAACAATTCTGCTTGTATAATTAACTCTTAATAAGAATACATATACCTAAATGATAAAATATGCAATGCGTGCATTGACCTTGGACTATTACCTTCCACCGGGCCCCACAAACACTGTGTATTCGCATATTCCTTTTTGAATCATATAATATACGGACACGATTATTCATTGAAACGATTGATTGCCCTCAATAATTATTTATTTATACCTTATAAATCCAGTTTCACATTGATTGACGATTATATTTATGCAAAATTCATATTATTTTTATCTTAACAAAAAGCGGTAAGGCTATAGTGAGAAAAACAAGAAATAAGTAGCAAATAAATAATAACTTATTCGTACTGACAGAGAAACTGCTCATATTTGAAAGCATATTTTTGTATGAAACTTTATATAAAATCATTTTTGTTAATGAGATTAGTATTTGATTAAGGGAAACTTGCAGTCAATGTACCAAATCTTTCGTTTATTAGTAAACTGTGTCCAAACCATTCATTTGTTCCACCGTAGATACCAAATCTTTTCAAAATTCACATTTCAAGTTCAGATTGA